CCCCCCCCCCCCCGTCACTCTCCTAGCCTCATTTCCCACTTGGGAAGGTAAAGATGGGCAGTCCTCTCTCGAGCCCCAACGCTCACTCAGAAATCGTACTAGTTTTTCTCAAAGCTTGGAACCATTACTTTTGGGGAGGGGGGGACTACAGCTCCCAGAATCCTCCAGCCACCTATGTTGTCTGCATGGTTCTTGGGGTTGTAGTTCACCACAAGGAACCCATCCTAGCTCTGCTCTCGCTCTCTGTTTCTCTGGAAGGGTGAACGGTCCAGGACAAGCCAGGTGGAAGATGAAGGGAATTTGCTGGGCCTGTTCCTGCTCATTGGCTGCCAGTTGCTGACCCCTGAAAAGCCCCAAAACATTTAAAGAGGGCACCTTAGAGGAGGACTTGCCAGATACTTACTCCAGTGAAATCAGACTCCTGTTGACCATCAAGGATCTGGCAAGAGCTTTAGCACCCTTGTTACCAATCTCATTTTCTGCCAAGCTGTCCAGGAAGGAAGAAATGGTTAGCTGTGTTTCTTAAGCTCTAGGAATCCTCTCCTTAGAAAAGCTTGATAGCCCTGTTTGAAAATACAAAGTAGGTTTCTTCTTGCTAGACCTACTGGCCTCTAAATTTAAAAGGCAACCATTAATGATTGAAAAACCTTTGCTGATTGGGGGATTCTGGGCACTGCAGTCTTTCAAAGTAACTCTTCCAAATTCTGAAAGAGAGTCCTACATACTCATCAGAGTTAGAAACTGGATAAACCAGATTTGGTCTGAGGATGGCTAGTGAAGGACAAAGGTAGCTACAAGTAATTTGGGGTCTTTTTTTAAAAAATCAGAAAAGCTGAAATACTGTAGGCTTTCAGTTAATAAGTCTACCTTTATGATTTTGGGGGTCTAGAATGCACTGGGATTTGCACACATAGCTTTCAGTTAATAAGTCTACCTTTATGATTTCAGGGGTCTAGAATGCACAGCGTGATTGCTTGTGCAATTTAAACGAATGATAAACCAAATTATGCTTTAAAAATATATTATTTCCAAGGCACCTTGAGATACTGGTGTTCTGTTTTCTCCAGAGTAATTTGTTCCTAGAAGTGCCATTTTAGGGAGAGAAAAAAATTGAAGATGAAGGCATTAAATAAACATATATATTCAAGCCAGAATTTGAAAAAGTTACTTTTTCGGAAATCGACTCCCATAATCCCTCAGTCATTGGCTAGAACTTTGATCCATCCATCCATCCAAAATATTTTTAACCTGCCTTAAAAAGGACCCAGGGCTGCTTACATCATTACATCTCAGACAATATTTAATGGTTAAAACAGTAAGTATACATATACTAGGAAGGATCAAACAAATATTGCAATAAAAAACAGTAAATGAAAGCAGCACCAAAAACTCATTCAAAGCGGTAAAGACACAACAATCAGTTTGAAAATCCAACTCAAGCAGCCCGCCGCTGTTTTTGCAGTCTAAATTTTTTTTTTACTTCTCTACACCTGATTTAAATAGCATTGACAGTCACATTTTTAGGGGCTGTTCACATGTGATTATGGTAAGCATCATCAAAAACGAAGACATCTGGGGGGAAAAAAGAATAAATAGCTGTCTAGTCCAGTCTGTGGCTCGTGAAGAAGAAACAAAAAAAATTCAAACCATTTTTTGCCCACATTTTCAGAAATAGCTTTTTAAAAAAGAGAAATTGCTAACTGATACCTGGGAAGGGGATTCTAGCTGTGCTTTTCTCTAAGGCCAGAAATAATAAAAGTTACTTATTGGACCTGGAGCATCCGGGACCCTGTTGGAAAAATAACCTACGTATTGGTATTCTTTGTAGTGTTGAAAATGTAGCTTATTATATTACCTGTTACACTGCAGCTTATTCTTTTGTTAGGTTCCACTGGTTAAAAAAAAACACACCTTAGGATTGATAATAGAATGATGCAAAGCTTAACCAAAAAAAAAAGTAAAATGGCCCTTCAAAAGTAAATTTTGAAAGTAACTCAAAGTGTTGTGATCCATTTTTTATTGGACCACGACAGAATCACACAAATTGCAAGCTTTCATGAACCCCACTTCCTCACATTCTTTTTATTGGACCACGACAGAATCACACAAATTGCAAGCTTTCGTGAAGAAAACCCCACTTCCTCACGCTTAGCACCACCCCTTCGTGAGCAGTGCAAAAAAAAATAATAAATAAACAAAAATTGGTGTTACATGTCTGAGATATTAGTTGTTAAACATTAGTTCTTACTCTTAAGGAACTGCATTCCTGCTCCTTGTGCTATTTTTGAAATGTAACTTGATTGCACCCTCACTACGCCACAACTAACTAGGTTAATGGCAATTACCACCATGAAATTAGGTTGATGGCCAGCTACGGCCCTTCCTTCAAAGGAAATAGATGTGAAACTCAGCCCTGATGACAGGCCACCTGTTTTGCAGCATACAGGATAGCTAAAAACCAAGAGGTTCCCAAGGGAATCAAGCACGACTGCCATCAGCTGCCCATCTCAAGGAGAGCCGTTGGTTCTACACCTGTTCAGTAGGGAGCTACCAACTTGAACATATTCCTAAAAGCTAGGTGAGTTGGCAGTGAGGCGTCACCTGATCTTCTGGATCTGGCAGTCTTTCCCGCTCAGCACGCTGCTCAGCAAGTCCATCGCGCCGTCCTTAAACTGGTTGCAGTCCAACCTGGACCCGACCACGGAAAGAGAGTAAAGCAACATGCATGTGAGACGAGAGGTAGGCAGGTTTCGTAATTAACTGCAGCAGGAAACGAAGCTGACCTGACCACACGCCTGGGACAGCCGGTGGACTTTCCTGGCAGCAGGAAACGAAGCTGACCTGACCACATGCCTGGGACAGCCGGTGGACTTCCTGTAGGTTGTGAGGGAAGGAGGAACGAACGGACACACCAGCCTTTCATTTGACCAGATAGGCGGGGTATAAATGAAATAAATAAATAAATAAATAGATTGTGAGGGAAGGAGGAACAAACAGACACACCAGCCTTTTGAAAAAATAACCTTTTTGACTATAATACTCAGAATCCTCCCTGTCAAGACTTCTCATGCAGAATGGGGGGGATTCTGGAAACCAAAGTTCCCCGGATTAACTTTTCCAAGCTTCATTTCATACCCTCACACTTACGTTCACAAGAACTTGTGCATTATCTTATCATACCGTGCTTATTTGACAAACCCCTGCGGTCTATATTATAGAAAGGAGGAATGATGCACCTGTATTAGGATTGCTGGCAGAGGGGCAAGATATATAGGTCTCCTCTACTCCTCGCTCCTCACCCCACACGGAAAGTGTAGGACGGTTTGGGCTGCAGGTCTCCTCCACAACTTTTCATCTTCTAATGTGGCCCAGGGAAGGTAAAAGGTTGGACACCCCTGCATTAAAAGAAAAAAAATCCAGAAAAAACTATTTTCACATGTATTATCAGAGCCGGCCACTAGAGGAAGCCACAGGCCATGCTATGAATACCTGTTAGTGAAAAATACATAGCATGATATCTGGTGCCCTTGTGGCCAGATCTGGTAATGCATGTGAAAATATTTTTCTGGGTTTTTTCCTTTTACCGTGCACTCTCTCTCTATATATATATAGCATTTGCTATTATCCATGGTTTTCAGTATTCACGAGGGGCTTGGACCCAATCTCCAGTGGATATGGAGGTTCTACTGGACCAGTATAATGGATGCAAGGAAAGTTGAACAAATACTCAACGTGGTCAAGCCCATGAAGAAAAACATCTGATTTTCCAGCATCAAATATGGCCGTCAAAGCCCAAGATATTGTATATCCCAATTTAATCCAGCCACATTGTTTGATTGGATTATTAAAGGGGACTATAGTTAAAGGCTATTTAAGGATTAATGAAGGATTATTAGCAACTAGTTGCTGTATGCTGCCTTGTGTTCCTTTATTGGAAGAAAGGAGGAATATAGATAACATTCGCCTAGGTAACAGATTAATTAATTGGTTAATGAAGGAGAAGGGATGAACTCTGTACATATGCAAATAACTTTTCTTCTTCTTTTTTCCTACTGCTTCAAAAGCAGAGCTAAAGTCCCAACATGGAGAACAGGCTCAGGGGAGCCAAGCGTATTGAACTCTGGTTTGGCAGCGCTAGGTGTGCCTTACCTGAGATTACTGCAGTAGAGAAGCTGTGGGAGGAGACTTCGGAAGGCGTGGTGGGTGAGGCCGTTGGAGAGGTTCGCCTCTTCTGAACACACCTCTGAGGTCTGCAGGAGATAAGCCAGGGCAGAGCAATGGGCCGGTGTCAACACCCCAGCCAGGTTCTCATTTTTCATCGCTTCCTCAACGACGACGGCAACTTCCAAGTGGTGCATCTCGTGTAAGCACCGCATGAGGTTTACCGTCCTGCAGGAGACATCTTGTTCCATCCCTAGAAGGTTCTGGAGGAAGCCAACGACATAACTCCGGTAATGGTGATGCTCGTCCCTCACCAAGAACCAATCAGAGAGGGCCTTGTTCACCTGGGAGGAGAGAAGACCAGCAAGGAAGCGCACGAAAAGGTCCAGGTGTCCGTCCTCAGACTGTAGAGATCTCTGGATGGCGTTCTTAAAGTGGCTGTAGAAGCCCAGCTTGGGCCAAGACATCCCACTCTCGACAAAGAGGTCGAAAAGGGCACGCTTGGCAGTACTATAATAATAGGAGGCGGCCAGGAATTCCTGAAAGGTTAAGTGGGGGAAATAGTAAATGGTTGAAAGGGGGGTCTCTTCCTTCAGGAGGAGTCTGTTTGACAAGCTGACGTGGAGGGACGAGAGGTCTACCCCATAGGCCTTTATGTCTTGCTCGTGGAACATGGTTTTCCTCTTGATCAGGCCGTAGAAGGCCAACCTGCCTAAACAGCCCATTGCTTTCTTGAAATTAGGGGCCACCTGGTCTATCCGAAGGACTTCTTTCTGCTTCCCTTGACACTCACCGTAGAGGGCCATTTTAAAATAATGCGAGTAGATTTCCGACAATGTCCTTGGAACCGCTGAGGTTTCTGGAGAGCAATCGCTGTTCTTCAGAAAGTAGCCCACCGAAGACCCACAGATCCGACAGAATGCTGGGACAGCGCACAGGATATACAAAGAGCGGTTAGTCTTGAGATGATGCACCACAGCATCAGATAAGTGTTGGCTCTCTGGAAACATGTGTTCTATGCAGCCTTTAATCTCGGCATCACCAAAGCCCTGTATTTCGGTCATCCTGTCCATGAGACCCGCCGGGATCTGGCTCGTTGCTGTAGGGCGAGAGGTGATCCAAATGGAAACCTCTTGCAATAGGTTGCCTCGGATGATGTTCGTGATCAGGTTTTCCACTTGGATCTCCTTCTGGAGGTCTGTGCAAACGACAGTGTTGGAAAAATCCAACAGGGTCTTAAATTCATCCAAACCGTCAAGAATGAGAAGCGTCCTGGCACAACCCACAGAGAGGAAGCTCAGCTCGGTTAAATGTGGGCATGCCAGTCGGACCAGCCTCTCGGCGGAAAGCTTTTCATAAGCGTTTAGCTCCCGGAAGGTGAGAGGCAGCACAAAGACGAATTCCTTCCCAATCTCTCCCTTCCCCCAGGCGTGGACAAAGAACTTTACCAAAGTGCTTTTGCCAATGCCCGCCACTCCGATGGTCACAGAGGTACGGGGCGGGATGCTGTATTTGGACAGGGGCAGGAAAAGCTTCTCCAGGGGGATCTTCTTGGAGGTGTTTCTCAAGCCTTTGGTGGTTTCGATCTGGACAAAATCGTGCTGTTTCTGTTGGAGATCAGTCAGCCCTTCCACCAGAAGAAGGCTGGTCAGCCTCTCCAAGGGGACAAATTCAGCGTTCATGCCACACCAGTTCTGAAGAGTCTCCATAGGGTTGGGCACCATCGGTCGTGGCTAACAGAAGAAGACCAGAAGTAATGAATGATGTGAAGGAACCAGCTCTGTATCTCACCCATGCCTAATCTCATCAACAGTTACTTTTCTGCCTCCCTCCCTTCTCTTCATATCACTTCCTGATGCTTTTATACCTTCCTTGTCTCTTGGCGTCAGTATCACCATTGGTCATAAACCTTTGGTTTCGTGTTTCTAAAATCCTAGAGGCTTCTAACTGAAAACTTGAAGACGTTCTTTCTCTGGCTACAATTTCCAAAATTGCCCAGCCTCTGGTCACTAAAAATATTGGCTGGAGGGGGACTGTTTCTAGGTGTGGTACTCCAAAAAATGAAAACAATGACACCTTTCGAGCTCTACCCCCATCTGTTTTCCATTACACCCATAGAGGAAAGGGATGCTCACCTGCAACATTAACATTGTCTCCTTTTCTCCCATTCATTAGCCGGGCAAAACTTTGTTCAGCTTGAAAAGGACTAAGTTCATAGCCTCCGTCCCACCCCGAAACTAAGTTTGCGATTACTATAGCTTAAAGCAGGGAAATTGACAAGACTTTGGGTCCAAGTCCCAAACCTGAGTCTTTTCTATGAAGCCCCAAGTCCCAAATCCCTATAAAAAATGAATTTTTCCCCCAGGAAAAAAAAGGGAGGGATGAGTGGAATCAAATCCGAGATATTGAGGGGAAAAAACTGAGTCAAATCAGACTGGAGTCCAACTCCCATCACTCAAATCCCCCCTCTCCCAATTACAAGCTTAATTTGGGGAGGAGGTATGAACTTCATGTCTTTTTTCAGCTGAAAGATGGCGCTTTTTTCTAAAGTTTCACCTAAATATAGAACTAGGACGGAGAACAAGGAAGCAACTTCAACGCTGTGATCTCACCTTTCCTTCTTTCCAAGCTGCAACAGCTGTCCTTAAGACTTTGGAAACAGAGAAAGAGCCGATTAACTATAATTGACACAAGTGCGGAACATTCAAGGGGCTGAAACAAGGCCAGCGTGAAACATTTCAATGGGAGATGCTCCCTTTGTTCAAGAGGAGAAGGATGAATCACCAGCAGAAAAGCTTTAGCAATTTGACTGAAGCACCTGTTCCGTTAAGAGCCTGTTCACGAACATCATTACCTCTTTCAGCTCTGACTTTTTGTGGCTAACTGGTTTAACCTGCACTGTCCATATTGCCACTTTGAACTCCCTTTATGGAGATTTGGGTTCATTGCTGATCACGGAAATCTGCCAGCAAGTTTTCCCTTATTTTCCAGGCACCAGGGGCTGGATGGTATCTTGTGACACCTGGTGTCAGCCAGATGTTCCTTGTGCCTCACAATATTTCTCATCATTACTGGTTTAAGCAGTGTTATATGATAGCAAATATTAGACATAGGCATGCCTGGACTGTACTAGAGGGAGTGTAGATTGAGGGGAGTTGATTATAAGACCAATTGTGCCAGAAACTATTAACATAATGTATTAAAGCCGAAGTACTTAGGTTTCAGCTGCTTATTTAATGGATAAACGCATTCGAAGAGAAACACACAGGAAGAGGAAAACAGTCATAAAATTCATATTAAAAATGAAACTTTCATCTAAAATACCATAAAAATAAATGTAAAACTAACTGAAAACACAAGTCAAAGCCAACACCCGAAGAGTGAGGTCCTCTTCAGCCACAGACCAGCCCACAAAGGTTCTCCTGAGTGAAAACATTTTTGTGTGATGGTCAAAAGATAAACTTAGTGAATCACACAGGGTTCTTACTCTCACTTTTCTGGGTCCGTGTCAGGGGCTACTCTTTTTTTTAGGTGAGGGTAAGATTACTCTAGTTTTGTTGGATTCCAACACATGCAATTATTGGGATCAAAACAAAATGGCACTTACTGCTTTCAGTTTCCCAATATCATGAAGTGGCTTAAACCAACAGCTTAGCCACTAAATGATATTGGGCCCTTAAAAACCTCCTTCATTCCTCCATGGAGGGGGAGAGTGAGGAGGAAAACAATGACAAACCTAGACAGCATCTTAAAAAGCAGAAACATCACCTTGCCGACAAAGGTCCGCATAGTCGAAGCTATGGTTTTTCCAGCAGCGGGGTATGGAGGTGAGAGCTGGACCATAAAGAAGGCCGACCGCTGAAGAATTGATGCTTTTGAATTGTGGTCCTGGAGGAGACTCTTGAGAGTCCCCTGGACTGCAAAGAGAACAAACCTATCCATCTTGAAGGAAATCAACCCTGAGTGCTCACTGGAAGGACAGATCCTGAAGCTGAGGCTCCAGTACTTTGGCCATCTCATGAGAAGAAAAGACTCCCTGGTAAAGACCCTGATGTTGGGAAAGTGTGAAGGCAAGAGGAAAAGGGGGCGACAGAAGACAAGATGATTGGACAATTGGACAGTGTCATCGAAGCTACCAACATGAATTTGACCCAACTCCAGGAGGCAGTGGAAGACAGAAGGGCCTGGCATGCTCTGCTTTTTAAGATGCTATCTAGGTTTGTCATTGCTTTCCTCCCAAGAAGCAGGCATCTTTTAATTTCATGGCTGCTGTCCCCATCTGCAGTGATCATGGAGCCCAAGAAAGTAAAATCTGTCACTGTCTCCATATCTTCCCTTTCTATTTGCCAGGAGGTGATGGGACCAGTGGCCATGATCTTAGTTTTTTTGATGTTGTTTTAGGTTTTTTTTAATGTTGACACACCCATTGTGGGTATTGCATGGCTAATACATTATGGTTAAGAATGGAACCAGCTGTATTGGCTCTTGCCTTTCCATTGAACTATTTCAGTGATGTGGGGAGGGGGGGTTTGCTGCTTGGGTAACAGCCTATCCTCTATATTATTTTACCCAGGCTTTGTGCTCTGGAGAGGACACTCCAGCTTTTCATACAGAGTTGAATTGGCCTCTTCAGCTACACTAGACGCTCTTCCAATTGTTAAGAATGGAACCAGCTGTATTGGCTCTTGCCTTTCCATTGAACTATTTCAGTGATGTGGGGAGGGGGGGTTTGCTGCTTGGGTAACAGCCTATCCTCTATATTATTTTACCCAGGCTTTGTGCTCTGGAGAGGACACTCCAGCTTTTCATACAGAGTTGAATTGGCCTCTTCAGCTACACTAGACGCTCTTCCAATTCCTCTGTTCCCTCTTCAGCCACACTAGACGCTCTTCCAATTCCTCTGTTCAGAGCGCGTTACCATAGTCTCTTGCGACTGGTGTGGTTAAGACATCCTGTGGTCCCAAAGCTATGTCATGTCTCAAACGCCCTGCAGTGTTATCAAAAACTGTGCAATATTCAAACAAAGTTTGTTTTTGTTTATACAGCATTTAGAAGCTGCTTTTAAAAAAAAAACAGCATGCCATTGGATCCAAAATGTGAAGTTGCAGTTGGAAGTGGGAGCAGAAAAGTTATGTGCAACTGATTGTTAAAAACTGAAATGACAGGCAGAAGACAGTTCCCTCTCCTGCGTCCCCACCAAACACACCTTTTTGAGGGTGGTGAGACAGAGAGAAAGGCCTCTCCTGATGATCTTAACGCCCGGATGGGCTCATGAAGGATCACAGAGGGAGATGTGGCTCTTGAGATCGCAGGGAGCCAAGACGTTTAAGGCTTTATGGATTAAAACCAGCCCTTTGAATTGTGTCCAGATATAGATTAGCAGTCAATGTTAAAACCAGCCCTTTGAATTGTGCCCAGATATAGATTAGCAGTCAATAGAGCTGCTGTAATTGGGTGGCATTGTTGATGAAGGAAGTTTCTCTGAAGGGCAAAGCACCAGTTTAGAGAAATGCCTTTCTGCTCCTAACCTTTTCATCCTAGGCCCTTTGCTCCATTTTTTAAAAATATGGGAGTGTGGGTACATGTTTATAAATAAATGAATGGACTTTCTATCTTTATAATTTGTTCCTATGACTCATTCGTGGAAACTCTTACCCGGCTTTGTACATGTTCAGGGATTCAATTAACAGTTTTGGTGCTCTGAGAAGGAGCCCGGCGTAGGAGTGCCGACCTGGCAAACCACCGCTTGCCAGGTTGGCACTCCTGATTTCTCCTCGCCTCCTGATTTCTCGCCACGGGCTTCTCACAGGTCACAGCAATGGGCTTGACGGAACTGGAAGTGCCTTAAAGGGAGCCACATCCCAATGACATGTAGAGAGTCAGTGGCTTTCCAGATGTTGTTTGATGATGGTCTTCCTTTAGGCAACGATTGGAACTTGATCCCAGGGACACAGAATCACAGAACTGTAAGGATGATGGGGGGGGCTGGAAGCCAAGTAGTGGCTTTCCAGATGTTGTTTGATGATGGCCTTCCTGTAGGCAAGAATGGGAGCTTGACCCCAGGGACATAGAATCACAGAACTGCAAGGATGATGGGGAGACTGGAAGCCAAGAGCTAGGAGGGAAGACTGAAAGAACTGGGCCTGCTTAGCCTTGAGAAAAGAAGATGGAGGGGAGAGATGATAGCACTTTTCAAATGCTTGAAAGGTAGTCCTACCGAGGAGGGGCAGAAACTGTTCTTTATCATTCCAGGGTGCAGGACATGTAACAATGGCCTCAAGCAACCGGAAACCAGATTTAGATTGAATATCAATGGAAAAAAATTCTTAACTGCTAGAGCAGTGCGACAATGGAACCAGTTATCTTGGGAGTTGATGAGTGCTTGGATATTGGAGGAATTCAAGACGAAATTGGAGAGCCATCTGTGAGATCTGCTTTGATTTGGATTCCTGCCTTGAGCAGGGGTTAGACTTGATGGCCCCTTCCAACCCCATTATTCTGTGACTATTCTATGATTAGAACTCGAAGGTCATCCCAAGGGGTCATGGAGTTCAGCTAAGGATCCCTGACACACAGTCCCACCCAACTGCCAGAGAAAAGCTCTCCGCCTTCTTATGCAGTCAGTTCCACGGCTTCTTCCAAACTCTTCCTAATGTTCTCTTGAAATCTCTTTTCTTGTAATTAGGCCTACAGTGACTGGTTAATTTATGCAGCCATCATCACATCTGTCTTTGCAAGATCAGTTGCTAAAGATTCATTTCCAAAGTATTATTCGTTTTAAAACTTATCTTTCTGGACATCAACCTTTTTTTTCTGAAACAAGCAATCTGCAGATTGCTTGTTTCAAACAAAGTACCCTGTCCAGCTCCAACGCCTTGCACGGCTGAAGCATTCCTGATATATGGCCACCCAGCTGTGGAAGAAAGAAGGGCCATTGTTTCTTGGTCAAGAACAGGACCATTACTAAAATCCCACTTTCTTATTATTTGCCTGCCTGCCAATTGAAATAGTCCAAAACATGAGATTTTTTTTAAAAAAAAAATTAGATAAAAGTCAATTTGATTCAAATCAAATTTACCCTGGAAATTCAAAAATCTGCAACAGATTGTTTGAGGGAGATCGACAGGGGCCCTTTTCAGTGGCCACTCTCAGGCTGCGGAAGTCACTATCATGGGAAGCTAGGTTGGCTGAGGACTGCGCTTCTGATGTCCTTTCTGTCAGCAGACAAAGACCTTTCTACTAGGCAAGCCTTCAACTGAAATGACAGCTGAGGAGGTCTTAACAAATGTGCTGCCCATTTCTGTTGTTAATCATAATCAATGTTTTTAACAGAAATCCTTTTAATTGCATTCAAGTTTCAAAATCACTGACTTAACTATGTCTTGACATCATACGTATTTAATATGCATTCTTTTAAAAGTCTGCTTATTTTTAACTTGTCATGTAAGCCACTTTGAATTTTTGGAGAAAGGCAGGAGAGAAACACAGAAGATGCAGCCATTTTGCTGAGGTTAAACAGCTCTGAGTCAGGATCCGTGCATGGCTGGGAGGACCTTGTCTGATTCCCTCAGAGCTTGAAAAATTAACCTACGGCCCCTCAAATTTCTTAGTCAACTTGGTCACTGGCTGGAAGATTTTGGGAGTTGAAAGACAGAACGTAAGCTGAAAGAAAGAATATAAACAAATGCTGCAGTAATCCATAAATATGCCCTTAGCTTTTCCCTGCACGGCCCTAAAAAGGCTGTGGCTCATGACAGTACCCCAGTTTCGCACGGAGAAAAACATCTTGGGTTCAACGAGGACTGGGAAACCTCCGGACTGGAATTCCAGTGAGTGTTTGCCAGACGAGAACAGCCCAGACTTCCCTATCTTTACACCCTCCAGAGGTGTTGTATTACAAATTACATCATCCCCCAACAACAAGCAGCGGCTGTGTCATCAGGGGATAATGGGGAGCACCAACCCCCACTCATGAAGGACCCCACATTGGGGGCCTCTGGTGTTCTGATGATGCCACGCAATCTGAGCCAGTATAAAGCCGTTTAATATGTCCCTGTGATTCTTTTCGTAATGATCTCACCAAATCCGGTGGCCAGAGGCACAGAAGTAAAGGACCATTGCTATGTGGCCTTGTAGATGAGGAAACAGCCCCTGTTTGAACAATTTACATGACAAGGTGCGCCTTTTCTACACAACTATCAAAGACACAGGAGCCACCTCCATGTGGCCAAGCTACAGGTATAAAAATCATCTCTCTTTACAAAACCGCACTCTCCTGGTGAAAATATACTCAACGTTTCCTCCTACCTTCCATACCTCAGGTTCTTGCCGTCTCCTGTGGGGTTCTTCCTTAGGTGGACCTCACATTTTGAGCTGAGTCTGCAGTGCCGGAAAAGGCTCCCTCCTCCCCTCCTCCTGGTGCCCGAAAATTATCCTGTCAGAATGCTGTAGGCCAAACGCGCGGTTTCTAGAAGCATGTTCTCCAGATACCTTGAATGCCTTTATCTGCTGTGGTCTGGATGCAAAAAGAAAGACGGGCACCCAACTGGCTCTTCATAGATGGATTTGTTGAGCAGATCTTTGTTTCTGCAAAATAAAGGTAGGTTTTAGTCTCATCTCGATGTTCAAAGGAAGGAAAAAGAACAAGCAACGCCGACAGCTAATTGAGTCTCTTAATCTTCACTTCACTGCAAATGCTGTTCCAGTTGAGTAGCTTTTTTTTCTTCTCAAACATCTCGAGACTCACCTCTTCCTGCCCTGTGGGTCTCATTTGTTCTTCCTGTTCATTTCAAAAGCTGCAAGACGGCCTCGTGCAGTGTCATGGCCAACTTGAGGAAAAATCGCAGCCCACACTTGATGGGAAATGGTGATGTTATGAATGTCTTATTGTGCTACTAGCAGTGGTTTACATTTTTTGCACGTTTCAAACCGATGTGTTTTCCTAAATGGGTTGTGTCTAGCAGGTCAGGACTCTCAAGAGCACCGAAAATCCCCCATTGCCTTGTGGGAGGGAAGTAACCGTGCCCTTTAAGGTTCACCCCAAACATGCATGGAACTACTTTGCACTGACTAAGGTTCACCCCAAACATGCATGGAACTAAATACTTTGCACTGACAGAGACCTCACTTCTTCCTTTGATTGACCTCACACTGAGGGTCAAACTAGACAGCCAAGGAAACGTATATGCCACCCACCAACTGGATTTCTCCAAAGTTTCATGCCTTGGCAGTCAGACTTGCAAATTCAGCCTTTGTTTACCTTCCTAGGCTGTCTGGATAGCTCAGGGGTTTAGGTATCTGGCTGTGAAGTTGGAGCATGGGAGTTCGATTCCCCAGTTTGCCTCTGGGGGGGGGGCGAGAGCCAGCCTGTGGGGCCTTGGGCAAGCTGCACAATCCCAGGTTGCCCCCAGAAGAAAGGAATAGTAAACCACATTTGAGTATTCTGCACCTGTGCAGAATAAGTCAATTCTGACTTATGGTGAACCTTTCCAGGTGCTTCTGGGTAAACTGTACTCAGAAGAGGTCTACCATTCCCTTCTTCTGGATCACCCTGGAACTGCGCAGCTTGCCCAAGGCTACACAGGCTGGTTTTACTCTCAGGAGGCACAGTGGGGGAATCAAACTCCCAACCTCTGGCTCCACAACCAGATACTGAAACTCACTAAGCTATCCAGCCAGCTGACCACCAGCTGGGGGAAGGCAGTACTAGAAATCTGGCCTCCATTTTTTTGAGCAACGACATGCGCCATTTGGTTTTCCATAGCAACATTTCTCCCTATGCTGATGGTGCAGCACACCACAGAGTTAGAGCAGGTAATTTGCTCCCCACATTAAACCAATTTCAGGCCCAAACAAAAGAAAAATTGGGGGAGGGGGGACATAAGAATCTTTTCTTGATCATCCCAGAGTCCAGACCATGTGATAATGGGCTCAAGTGACAGGAAGCCAGATTCAGGCCAAATATCAGGAAAAATCTCTTAACAATTAGAGCTATATGACCATGGGAACCCATGAGCTTGGGAGGTGGTGAGCGCTCTAACGCTGGAGGCATTCATGACAAAACTAGATAACCCTCTGTCAGATCTGCTTTGATTTGGATTCCTGCCTTGAACAGGGGTTGGACTTGATGGTCTCATGAGTCCCTTCCAACTCGATTATTCTAAGATTCTATTAAAAATATATATACCAATCACCTCAACCGTTAAACCAACCAGTTCAACAACTCTGTTTAAACTCTGACCGTTAAGAGCTGGGTATACATTTCAGCCACACGGAGCTGAATTCTGGAAACAATCCCAAGACCCACATTTGCATTTTACAATCATAAATTTGTGCATCAGCAGCACACACACACACACATACACCAATTATATATTCACTAGCTAGGAAATTCTAGGTCATTATTTGTGTTGCTCTGTACAGGCTGTGGCGAGAGAGAATGCAAACATCAAGCCAATCTGCAGACAGGATGTGAGAAACCACATGTAAGGGGGGCAGGAAGGGGAGCCGTCTCTGTACAATACTTGCAGTAAAAGGAGCAAGGAAAAGAAAATGCACCAATGTATGAGCACTGAGCGATATTTTTTGCTTCATTCAATACAATAATTGTGCTCTCCCTTTCTGGAGCTGAATGAATTACAAGCAGAACATCTGTATGAAGCAATAGAAGCAACTGACAAAGATTTTCAATGCTTGACTGGATGTTGGCAAAACATTTAAAAATTTGAAAGCCTTCCCAATTTTTCTTGCAAATTTGGAACGGTAAATGTAAAAGGGTGTTGCGTGTGTCACACATGAAATATGAACAAAATGAGGGCTTGAAATAGCAGCAATCTGCCTTGGTAGTGGAGGGATCCCCCCCCCAACCAAAGAAATCCTTGATGTCCAAGGTATTTGAAATTGAGGGATCTTATATCCATTGGCATCACCTAATTGCTTCAAGTTTAAGACCAATTAAAATAGAAATAAAATGTCTTAAATATCAAGTACACAGTGTGTGACTTAGTTCTGTCAAATATAAAACTCTATTACATGCAAAATATTTAATTCCATACTGCATAGATTTTTCTTTTAAAAGATACAAAGCACCACTACGGGTCAACTATCAAATGCTACAAGTCAAATATGTGGTGACAAAATAGCTAATATTTACTTTGTTTATTTTATACAGCTTCCTTACCAAAGAAATTACTTAGCTGCTTACAATTTTCCTTGTAAATGGCAGATACATTATTGAAGCATGTTTCCCATATGAACCTTTTGCTGTGGCTACTGTTTTTAATCCTTGTATGTGTTTAGGCGTGTTCTGTGCTGTCAAGTCAGAACCAACTTATAGCAACCCAAATAGGGCTTTCAAGGTAAGTGACATATTTAAGGAGTGGTTTTACCAGTTCCACTCCCCTAGTGAGTTGCCATGGCCAAGTGGGGATTCAAACCCTGTTCTCCAGAGTCCTAGTCTGCCATTCTATCCAATAGACCACACAGGGATTCAATTAATACTTTTAGCGGATGTTAATTTATACGTTTATACAGTGGTGCCTTGCTAGATGATGATAATCCGTTCCACTGAAATCGCTGTTTAGCGAAATCATTGTCTAGCGAAAAGCATTTCCCTATTGGAATGCATTGAAACCTGTTTAATGCTTTCCAATAGGGAAGAATCGTCGTTGTCTAGCGAAGATCAGCCTTAGGAAAGCTGCTTTGCGAACCGCTGATCAGCTGTTTAAATAGCTGTCTTGCGAAGCTTAGGTCCCGAAAACACCCGTTTTGCGAGCGCGGAGGGAGCTGTCAAAATTGTCGTCTAGCGGAAATTGGTTTGCGAAGCAGGGACCAAACATTGTCCAGCGAAATTCCCCCATGGGAATCACTGTTTTGCGAATCGCTATAGCGATCACAAAAAGTCAATGTCTAGCGGAAAAAACTGTCATGTCTAGCGAGGCACCACTGTATACTTCTGTTGCTTCAGCATGATTTGCAAAGAATTGCTTTTGTAACTCATATTGATGGAATAAGCAGAATTCAGCTCAGAACAAACTATACTTGTTTCATTCAGAGTGCTAAAAATTAGCATTTCGCCTCCAAGCTTAAAACTCCCCAGCAAGTATGGACATAAAGGGTTTTTTTGTTGCTGTTGTTTTTTGTTTAGAGAAGCCAGAACTTAAGGAAAAGATTCTATTGGATTACAACTCCCAGAATCCTGTATCTAGCACAGCGGCTAGCTATGTTGTCTGGGAGAATCTGGGAGCATGTTCGAGCTTTGCTAAGCCTCCTACATAAAAGCAACTCATTGCTACAGATACCAATTCATGATAATGTTAAGGTAAAGGAGAAATATCTGTTATTTTCCCGCTATTAAGGTACTGCTGAGGAACGTCTCATCCTTGAAAAGGCCTATTATTTCACAAAAGTGTCTTTGACTCAAGTGACCACATAGCAAACAATTTTCAGCCACAACTATGGAGGAAACTATGGTGTTGTATGAATCACGAGAAGTTGAGCGCCAATTGGAAGTTATTTGCTGGAGATGTGCTGTAAATTAAGCTTTTGGTAGCAAGACGGGAAGCTTCGGTTTTAATGTATTTTGAAACTGAAGCTTTCTTGAAATGTTCTCTTGAATGCATGAGGCTCAAAATTTGGAAGGTGGATGAAGCTGAATATGCTGTCATCCTCCTCAGTTATTTAGCCCTGAAGCAGAGTTGCGCCGCATTTGCTTAAAACCACTCTCTCTGTATGACATTTATTGGAGTTGCTAGCTGAACAGAGGTTACTTGTATTCAAAGAAACATACACGAGTGAACAAGCTTGGTTGAAAATATTTTTTGCTGCCGAATAACCCTAGATCAGTGTTTCTCAAGCTTGGCTAACCTAGGTGCAAATATTTATGCAAACTATAATTAATTAATTAATTTTATATGCTGCCCACACTACCCAAAGGTCTCTGGGTGGCTTACAACATTTATTTATTTATTTATTTAACTTTACTTTAATCATTCCATTGTATTTTAATTAACGTATAGTTTACATTTTTAAAAAATGTTTAATTTACTGTTTTTAATTGTATTCCTTTTAATATTGTAAGTTGTCTTGGGTCCCCTTATGGCAAGAAAGGTAGCCAATCAATCAATCAATCAATAAAAAAATTAAAAAAATTAAAAACCTGAAGGATACTTCCCTTGCCCCCTGAAATTGATAGGAGAAAGGTATTACAAAATCCCCATCAAAATGTCTCTTTAAAGGCCCTTTCTTAGTAATTTTTTGAAAGGAACTAGCTTCTGCTTACTATACATAAGTAACCAAGGGGTTGGTCATTACACATGAAAAGCTAACTTTGTAATTACTAGTTACATTACTCATTATCCCCTCATGCAAATTAGTTACAGGTAACTACTTCAGAACTAACTAGCTACCTGCAAGCTCTGAACCCTGTGACATGATAGTGGGGCCAGCTAAGACAACGTCATAAACTACAGGGGCAGAAAACGAGAAACTATTATTTTTAATAACCACACTTTTTAACACTGAGCCAGATCGGGTCTCCAATGCCTTGGCTTTCCTTTTAGAAAGCCAGAACGTCCCAGCGGGCAGGAGACTTCCCTCAGCTTTTAAGAAGAGAAGACGGTCCGTCCTCCTCTGGAGCCAACGCCTCAGCCAAAGAACAAAATGGCGCCTCACTCCCACCCAATCCCTTGTAGAGAAGGCGGCGGCCATTTGCAATATGGCGGCGCTTGCCCCCCACCAGACCAGAGGGGACAGATGAATTTGGGGGCCCCAGGAAGGGCCCGTTTCGGCAGGTCTAGGGGCCAGTTTCTGACACACACCCCTCAGCCCCTTCCACACTGGCCTGAACTGGCTTCCCAAATAGAAAACCGAGAGTCGCTTCTTGGTTTGCTTTTATGGGGGTCCGGTTTTAGGGGCCAGCCCCTTCGAGAAGCTGAGGGAAAAGATTCCGCTCCATCCTCTAAGACTGAGCCCCCGCTTTTCCCTCTTCTCGGGACGGGACTCCTGAGGCGATGGCGCCCTTTCGCCTCACGACAGGGCCGGCTCTGCAGCCACCACTGAGGGGACAGACTCGGACCTGGGCTGGTAGTGGCCCTTCTCTGTGGGAAGCTGCCCCTCTGGCCACCGATAAAAGGGGGCTTAAAGCCTCTGGCGTGGTTCACGTGTCCCAAGTGCACCATCCCCTCTCTGTGCATTCGTCCCACGTGAAAAAGGGCCACGGTGAACGTACGGGCACCCACTCTGTGGAACTCCATGTGTGAAGGATGCTGGTCGACTCTCTGAGAATTGCTAGGATTCTGCAGGCAACGATCCAGGGATACGTCGCCCTGGAGGAAAGGGTTGTGATTAAGATTCGTGTGCACGTGAAGTCACTTTAAAAGAGGGCTGCGCACACTTTCCCTGATTCGGTTTGAAGGCTTTGGGACAGATTCCCCAGTCAATCTGGTGTGAGTTTGTCTCCCAAACCGGATTCTGAATCTCCCCCACAGATTTGCGTTGGGAAAGCAAAATAGGTGTTTTGTTTTTTTTTTTATTGTAATTATGTATACGACATTAGGCAATGCTAGGTCCTGAAAAGGAGAGTAACTCGGTCAAACAGGTGGCTTCAGAGAGGGACATACAAGTTTTTAAAATTGGCTTTTTAAAAAAAATAATAATAATACAGGAATAAATACACCCAACCTCCACCCACCGACCCCGATTTGGTTTGTGCTCTCTGGATGATCCAAACCAACTCGTAAAATCAAGTTCTCTTTGCCCTGGAACTGCATCCAGTCATCCCATTTTCAATCTGGACATCAAATCAATTCAAAGCAGGTTAATTCAGTTTGCGAGGACACAGCCCTATGGGGAAGCCACGTCCAACCACCAGCAGCCATTCCTGGTTCATCAGAAAAGTGTTTCCACGGGTGTGCCATGTCAGAAAACCCAACAGCGAGGGAAGGAGCTCGAGGAGAAAGCTGGATCCAAGCTATGTGGAGAGACCACATCACCCTTTATGAGCCTGCCCAGGTTTTAAAATAATCAAGCTGTGGAACTCCCTGCCACAGGATGCCAGGCTGGACCCTCCGTTTACTGTTTTCTCTCAGGCTGGCTTTTTCTCAGTAACTGGGTGCCTAAGAAGGGGGCGGACATGGTTCCCCCCCCCGTCTAATGTTTATATTCTTTGTTTTCATATCATAATGTATGGATCTTTTTAGGACAATGTTGGATATAAATACTTTAGGTAAATAATAAATGATGATAATAAAGCAGATGGGTGTGTGTTCAGGAAGGGGAGTAGCTTGCACTCATTTGTGCAATGAGGTGGACCCAGAAATAGTCCCAGCTCAACTATGGCCTCTCACCACATGACATAAGAACGCTCCACCCCATGACATCACAGGGGTCCACCTGGTGATGTCATGACAGCCCTAGCAGGCTCCCCTTATCACCCTTGCCAACATAGGCTCCCAAACTTTCTCCTATAGGCAGAAAAGGGTGTGTTGATCTAAAATGCCCACTATTATCACAGAAACCAGTAGAAAACCAGCAAGTCAAGGGTTTTCTTCCTGATTCACGATGCACTGGTTTTCTCTTTGATACTGAAGGTATTGGCTATGCCTGGAACCATTAATAGCTGTGAGACTGTGCGAGTTACAGTTGTTTTTTTTTAAAAAGTAATTTTTAAAAACATTTTGTGGGGTAGGATTTGTAAATCCCCATGTATAGCCTGAACTGCGGCACAGCTCAGATACAAAGTACAGATAATTTGTTTTATTGTTTTTGCGTAGATCCCCAAGCTTAGGGCATTCGTGGTGGTTTACAATCTATTATTAAAATGAAACAAACAGAAGGATGACCCAAACGCTTCCTGGCCTTCGGTCCTTTTGGACAAGAACAGCTGGTTCTCTTCTGTTGTCCTTCAGCGTATAAGAAACAAATGATCCCAATGAAGGTGTGTGTGTGTGTGGGGGGGTCAGGTTGCTACTCATGTGTCATTCATTAAAACAAACATTAATGGAGCATAACCCATTTCAACAGATCAATTGATCTGCAGATCTTTAGGCTGCCCAATTACGAAGGACGAAGCGGGACCCAACAAGCTTTTGCTGAGTAAGTGTGCTAAGACTTCCTCAGTGTTCTGAGCTTTGATTTTAAAGACTCTGGTGCCACTCCCTGGGATGTTCTAGATTGCAATCTAGTCACCACATTTATTAACTACTTACTGCAATCCAATCCCCTGCCATTTCAGAGTATGGCCATGTAGCTATCTCCCCATCCACCCTCAAAGATAGTTCGAAACTTTTGGAAGATGTTCCAAACAGGTCTGGGGTGATCTGTGACCCATTCTATTCGATCTATGCCTGACCCGAGTCAATATGTAAACCTTCTCCATTGACTTGCACTGGAAAAACTAAAAAAAAACCAAAAGCTTTGTTTCCCAAAAATTTGTTTGCAGCGATATGGATGAAATTAAGGGAGAGAATAGACCCTCCCAAATCCTGGTACATACTAGGGTCCCTTAGGTTTGCTTCCTCCCCAACCCCCCAAAAAAGGGGGAAAATAAAAATGCTGAAGTGGGTTTGTGCCTCTTTGGTTCTATTGATGCTCCAAATTAATGTGTAAATTTGCTCCGCTTCACCCTTCCAGCAAAATCTGGCTGTTCCATTTTGATCCAGATCTTGTATCAACGGGTTTGAACCTCATCGATTCAGTTTAGAATTTGTGAATTCTCCAGGATTACTGCACATTCCAAGCCTTGTTTATTTCAACTTACCAGGTAGTGATCCATCGATGACAAAACATTGCAGAAGTTTCCTCCGCTCTTCGCGACTGTCCTCGCTTTGTCCAGGTCAGCATACAGAGGACCAGCAAGACCGACGGGTCCAGAAACAGACCAGCGAGCCTAAGGGCAGCAAACCCTGCTCTTTCTTCCTGGACTTCACCTGAATTCTGTGGCAGGCTATACACTGTTTTACAAAATAAATCCCGTGCCAGTAAAGAATTGCATTCAGGCTAAATGAATTAAAATAACTGTCTCTCTGCATTTCAGGAGTGGGGTTCTAAAACTACAAAGTTTTTTTCTGCAACAAGGCAGAACTTAACATTTTTTAAAAACGAATTCCCTTCAACCTGCGGACAAGGCTATACTGTTGTTTTTTCCATTCTCACATACCACCCAAAATGAATAATCTATTCTAAAAAAATACAGTATTTTATTTAGTTCTATAACCTGAGTGATAAGGCAGAATAAAGCTCTAAACTGCTAACTACAATCTTTTAAAAACAATGCTGCATTCTTTTAAAAATAAATTTTAAATTAGCAATAGTAGGTATAATTTTGCAACTGTCTCAAATAACTGAACCTGCTTCTCAGTGTGGGATCCACCTTTTTAAAACGGAGGCACTTTTCCTTACTGAAACTGGAGAATATTCTGGCTGGCTAGCACTGTTCCTCACTTCCAACACATTGGTCTGAGAGAAGATACAGCTGCAAACATTTGGCGTTTTAACTACATGTGAGCCACCTGAAGACCAAAATCTGCCTTAAAGGTTTTGGCCTTCCCTTTCTTAGCAAAGGCCTATGGAGATGATTTTCTCTTTTACCTGTCCTAATCCTCACGCCAGTCAACTTTAGGGGACTCTAGGATTATGAGATACTGTACAAAATGATTTTTTAACCCACTTTTCTTTTTACGCAGACCCTGGACCCCAACCAAGCCATTCTACCTTTTAAGACCCTTAGGAAATCTAGCCACCTAGTCCTAAATCCCACATGCAGATCTTTAATCCCATTTCTAACAACTCTTCATTCACATCCATCCTACCCCTGTGATCTATTCTATTGCGTAGTTGTGACTTCAAACAAAAGAACTAGAGGAAACGAATGCAAATGTGAGGTAGCGGAGAAAAGTTACTTCGAAACAAGAGTTAAACAACCATTACGTCCAGTGATTCCAAGCAATAATGGGTTGCACTGAGAGAGAGAGAGAGAGAGCACTGTCCACACCAAGCCACAAAGATAAGCTTTTAATGTGAATCAGACTGGCAAAAGAACAGCATTTTACTTACATCTTTGTTACTTAGACCAAAACTCCTCAAAGGCAAGGAAGGTGGGGGTGGGGGGGAGAGGTGCTGTCAAGGATCGAACTGCTCAGAAGCAGACAGCAAACACAAAGATCTTAGGGTGGGAAGGATTCCTGTTACCCTGTACAAGTGATAGACCTCGTTGGCTTCTCTTGTCGGGCCAGCTGACTTTTTTTAAAACGGGGAATTGCCCTGTTTGCTACCCATCCCCAACGCAGATGCATAGGCTGATGCTGTAGGTCTGAATCAGATTTTTTTGGGGGGGCTTTCCACCAGAGCAATCTCACACGTCTGGTGCCCTTGCTGTAGGTTCACCAGCTCTGCTGGAAGCCTCAGGAGGCCTAGAGAACACACACACACACACTCTCCCCGTTATTCTTATCAGAAAAGATGGTATTCCTTTAGGAAAGCCAAATGGAAAAGGAAACTCTAAACACATTTAAGTAACATCCTGCCAACCCCTGAAGTGCTGGAGAGGAAGCTAAAATGAACAAACTAAAAAAGGGGGATCAGAGAAAAAGGGTGTGTGGGGGGGAGAGAAATAAATGGGCCAGTTGGTGAGCTACGAGATAATTATACAAGGCAGGCAGGAAGCGGGGAGGAAAATCCAGTACACCGGATACAGCCCTGCTAAAGCAGCAGCAGGAGGTTCTCGCTTGCCATCATTCCGATGTTCTAAGCAGCTGAAGGAAAAGGCTTAGAAACATCTTCACTGAGACAAGATGATGGTCCTCCATCTATCACTTCCATCTCTCCCCATAAGCTCTCTTTTGGATAAATTTGCACTGCAGGTTCTGCCTCTCATGAGTCTCATCGCTACAATCTTTCACTCAACAAAACCGATGGGAAGCTGGCTTTCTTTGGGATGGAGTGAGATGTGGGAGGTCTTCGTTCAAACCTGCAATGGGGCTGCGGCGGCTGCCAGTTCCCAATCAAATCTAAACTTCCCAATGGGCAGCAGTCTTTGTATTAGACCAAGAGTTGCTCTTTCGGGGATGGCTTAACCAACAACTGCTGGAGAGCGCTCTGAAAATGGCTGTGATGGCAGATTTCCATTCTGCCTAAATCAGGGCTTCTCCATGAAAGCCGAGTGGACAGAAAATGGGTTTCGGGGGAAATGAAGCCCTTGAGTGAAAATAAACAGATATACTATGAAAAATATACTGATGAAGAAAGAACAAAGTAACCCAATACACTCTTTCCAATCTGAATCATTGCTACTTCAGCAGGTTGCAAACAGAAACTATCACAGATAAAAAAAAATTAAGGATTATTCTCCCACATTGTATGGGTTCTCTCCAACAGTTTTGTTCAATTAGGCTGTTGGAGAAGTCAACTTTGGCCAATTTGAATGGTTTATATTCATCTGAACGAGCCTGCCATTTTTAGAAATGAGAAAATAGCACCAGCGCTGCTGAGATTTAGTACATGAGCTAATTCTGCGACAGAAACGCAGTCACATTTTAGAAGGACATAGATGGGGCGTGAGGTGTTTTTTTTTTTTTACAGCAGATTAAAATCCCATCCACAGGGCTCGTTTTCAGCTGCTGCAGTCTGCTTAAATCGCTAATCTAGGCCCAAGGTTGGTGGCTGGAACTGTTTGTTCTTAATTAAAAAGAAAGTTTTCAGTTAATGGCAGGGCACAGTTACACTACCAGCTTGGTTACTTGCAGAAACAATAGAAATTCAGAACTACAAAAAGATGTGCTGTATTCAGTTAATATAAATGAGAAATTGGGACTTTGTCGAATGTTTCTTGAGACTATGTACAGTACAGTGTGGCTCTCTGCTGAGCTCAGATCTCGCCGGCCTCCCTCTCTTCCGACCTCTTTGAACGAGATTTGCCGTTGGTGCTCTCATGTCGCCTTTCCGAAGAGGCCTTCTCCTTCTTCTCCCTCGATTTCTCCCTTGAAGACCGATCTCTAGAGGACCTGAAGCACAAACCAAATTGTCCTGTAAAGGGTCTACAACAGAAGGCATTCAAACTATACGAAGAAGAAAAAAATCTGACCGAGGACAGAAACAGTGGAATGACTGGGTCATCTGCCTTTCTCAAGAAGAAAGATCAGCTAAGTGAGAACACCTTTATGAGATAAAGGAAGGTAAATGCTCAGTCAGCACAGGGTAGAGCGGAGCTACCTAGAGCTTGACAAGGACTAGAAAGCTAGCTGTTGCTGCCCAAATTTCACAGTCTGGCTCAAACAGCTAAGAGAGGTATAAATCCCGGGTGCAGTTCATCCTTGGCCAGTGAACCAGACAATGTGACCATTTTCCTCCGTTCCAGTGGACAGTCATATTTTTGCCCCCTGAACTAAGTGATTTTGTGTATTATGCCTTTACAGAAACACACAAGACTGCAATCATTGTGCCGTTTTCGTACTGACTATTAAACAGTGGCAGCAATCTGTCTCTTCTTCCCTCACTCAGCCTGCCTGTCTGTGTGCACTTGGGCACACAAAGGGACAAGATGCAGTTCTGTGCTGCCCTGCCATTCTGCAAAGAAAGCTCTTTTAAGATCTCCATCTCACACCAGAGCCGAGGCCTTTGGTGGTGCCCGGAAGATCCTCGAGAGGCTACGTCGAGACCACCCATCTCCACCAAAACCATTCCTCCTCCTCCTCCACCACCACCCCTTTGCAGCCAGGCTCATTCAAGAAAAAGGCAGATTATGCTAAGCTTTTCCCATGGCTGTCCCAGCCTGGAAATATAATTGACCATCTCCCGATAATCATTTAGTCATCTGCTCCAAAACTCAGGACTGCTCATATCATACAGTCAGAGAAGCACGCAGTATTATCCAAGCTCTCAGGGGAAAAGCAGTCATGATTTCAGTTCACTTGTAAATTGCTGCTCTTTCCAATGCAGAACTCTGTCAGCGGGATCAGGACCAAACAGGCAGCAAGTTAGGCTTCTAGCCAGCCACAGAGGCTCTTTGTACTGCCCACAGAGCACGGTGAGCTCCTTTGCTTCTCTACCGGCGGTAAATGGCATTTCTAAAAGTTCTTTTTAATGCAATCCCCCCTTTTTAACTTAACAGTTTGTCCTATATCTAACGCTTCCTAGTTTTAGTTGCCCTTTCCCCCAACACCATAAGCCAGCACATTGTAGCGCTAAGACAGAATCTTTTGGGTTTATTCCCCACTGCTTGCTGACATGGGAATTCCTCCAATAAAACCTGGCTCAAATCTACACTGCTCCAAGTGCTGATTCCAGGAAGCGGGAGGTCTTTGGGCAAAGCTAAGAAATGTTACTTGTTTGGACTACAACTCCCAGAATTCCCCAGGGATTGCAGTCTAAACAAGTAACATTTCCTGCTATTCACATGCCTTCTTTTTCTATTTTTTCCCCCTGTGAGGGGGCAGCTGGCACAGTCAGACAGAAAGGGGAAAATGGGGCGAGGAGGAGACAGGAGCCCAAAGCCCCACCACCTACCTGTCTATTCAGAGACGGGAGGCAAACGGGCAGCAAAGAAAAAGATAAGGAGGGCAAGCAGGACCCAGAAACTAGCAGTGCCACCCCCACCACCCCCTGCCAGGATGCAAACAACCTGGCAGATGCCCAGGGCTGCCAGGTCCCAAAATAAGCCTTGAACACTTCCACCCCTCTATAAAAGGGGGACCCTTCGGATGTACCCCTAAGGATGGTGAACCTGGACAAGTCATTCGGTCGCCTATAAAGCCCTTCATGTGATGGTGGGCCCCACCTAACAGGGGATATACCAGAAGATGTTTCATGTCTTGGCTTCATCACTTCACAAAGAACCCTCTCGGCCCAAGGGATGATTGGCAGCACACAAGTTAATGAAAAATTAAAAAGGGGTAACAGAGTGTTTCCACGGGGGGGGGGGGTTGGGTTTTTCAACAGAGCGATCCAGAGCACCTTCTAAGGCCACAAAAATCATCCACTGAAGAAAAGGCACACAACAGCTTGTTACATTTCCACTGCGACAGGGACTGATTCAGAACCGGCATTGAATTTCTTTGCCGAGAGCAAAAGAAGAATTGCTACAGAATGGACACAACGCATACAAAGCTAAGGGAGACTATCTGCACTTTCATTTTAAAAGAGATTTCCTCTATAGGGAACGACGTCTGCAGAACTACGCTACTGCTGATCTCCTAGAAAGCAATTAGTTAAAAAATAACACTGCCATTATTGGGCCTATACAATCAAGAGCCATGTGACATACTAATTAGCACACTGTATTTGATATAGGGTTCTGTGGACTGCTGCCCATTCCTTCAGATGCACCAGGCTGCACACATCAAAAGAGGAGGATTACAGGCTGCAAAAGCTTATGCCACATTAAACACTTTAGGTGTGAATCATGCTGGTTGTCCCAAGTGAAGGAGGCCCATCGTATGGTGTGTGTGTTCACCATTCAAGAATGGAGTCACTGCGCCAGCTGTAGCTGGAACCACAGACAGGAGTCAAGTTTCACGTGCTTTGAGACAGATCAATAGATGTGAGTCAAAGTTTTTAAGGTGCTGCACCACTCTGTTTTTGCTACAAAGATTACTGATTATTCTCGCATATTACTTTAAGCACTTCTGTGAGTCAAAGTTTTTAAGGTGCTGCACCCCTCTGTGTTGTTTTTGCTACAAAAGACTACTGATTATCCTTTAAGCATTTTGCACTACACATGTGACACAATACACTCGCACCATGTGACACACAAACGTCACAGTGTCAGGATTTGTTCCTTTAAGTGAACAAGGGGTGAAATTTAATATTGCAGTGAAAATGCAAAGTCATGTTTGTAGCGTCAAGCCAATGGACGACTGATAGCATACAGATGGGACAAGGTTATGTAATGCTTGTCGACCACGTTCAGCTGCTAGTCTGCAGTGATAGGCTGTTCTCAGTATTTAAGCAAGAGAGTGAGAACAGCACTTCACAACTCAGTCGTGAGTCTGGTGGTCCCTTTCCTTGAATGTGGAATATTATGTTGCTCTGAGATGTCTATGCCAATGTATATGTTGCCATGTATATATGCTTAACCAAGCCCAATATATAATGTATCAGAACTCCCTGTGCATTTTCTCATGTCTGTGTCTTTACTCTGCTAATGAAGGGGAGGATTTGAAGCAGCCAGGTAAGAGGCTGTGTGTAACATGTTATCTTGAGTCCCAAGGTTTGTTTTTCTCAAAGAGTGCTCTTACAAGCTTCATATCCCAATCTGACTCCAAGGTTTTGGAGAGGCAATAGCCATATCAAGCCTCTGGAGTTGGACCCACGCCAACACAATGACAACGCAGAAGATGGGAATAATTCCATCCCTATGAATGCTTTATCTGTTTCCACATCATTCATCTCATCTATTTCCACATGTCTCTTGATCCCCCAGATGTTCTTGGACTTCAGCTCCCAGAAATCTTGGCCAGCAGAGATAGTGGTGAAGGCTTCTGGGAGTTGTAGTCCAAGAACATCTGTGGACCCAAGGTTGCGAACCACTGCTCTACAGCATTTTAAGAAGCTGATGTTTAGGATGGCAGCAAGTGAAAACAACTGTCACTGTCTTTTGAAGGAACAGATGATACAGCAGTCTCTCTTTCCAGATGTTTTGCTCCTTTCCATTCCCACCACCACCTCCCCGAAGAAATGGCATTTACAGTTTCCTCCCCCTAGGGAATGAATGCTTTGGGGTGGGCTAACATAAATTTGAGGTTTCTGAAGCATTCCCTTACCTGCTCTTTAGCAATAGTAATTACAGGGTCTTCCTCATTTCCTAATTGTCCAAACTTCTTTTCTTTATTGTTCATGTTCAAGACAGATTTAAAAAATGAATTTAGTATCTCAGCCATGACTCAATAGTTTCCACACATCTCACTTCTAACATTCTTTGTTCTTTTCCAGTACTCATTTCTGTTCACACAGAAGAGAAGGATGATTGCCCTTGATTCATTCACTGAGTGGCAAAAATAAACCCAGAGGCTCTCGAGGAACAAAGGCGAGGTTCACCGTATTATGAGCAGTCCTGACACAAATCTGCAGAAAGCTAAAAATACGCAAGGACACAATTGTGTCCTAAAGAGAACAGGATAACATAACACACTTGTTCGCAGTGAAAAAGAACCCAAGTATTTTAGGTTTTGAGCTTCTCACACCACTCGGGTAACCAGAAGCCCTGTATGGTGCTGGGAAGTGGAATCTAGCCACTACGCGCTGTAAGCCAAGTCCAGTAAAGCTGGTGGGCAGCAGGGATCATGCAGCACAGGACTGGCCTTTCCCAAATAAATCCTACTTCTAATAGTGATTTGGGGGTCTTTCCCCCCCCGAGAGTAATTTATCCCCCCAATGGTTTGGGCTGTTCTTAGGTAACAAGTCCCGTGCAGATCTATAAATCCAGGAGGATTTCAAATAAATTATCCTGATTATTCACCATTACAGATGGGCATGAATAGCTTGCTAACTCCACCTACCAAAGGCCTTCCGCCATAACTTACTGACTTATCCAATCCTCTCTCCAAGTTTCATCTCCTATTTTCACGGCTGAACTATAACAAGAAAAAACCCAAAACCAGCCCTTTCCCCCAAGACAGCAATTAAAACTATGGGGGCATACTTGTGTTTCGAACTCCTGTCTCTGGATCCCCGGCGGTGACCTCGGCTGTGGCTGCCGGAACGGCTGCGGTGGCGCCTGTGCCTCTCTCGATCTCGGGACTTGGAGCGGGACTTCCGCTTCTCACGGGAAGCAGACCGTGAGCGTCTTCGCCTCCGCTCTCGAGACCGGGACCTGCAGCGCACAGGAACACACACACACACACACAATGGTATGAAATACTTTCCCATAAGGAGCTGGTCTTCCTCCATGCAAGGATATGCCACCTGCAGCGCACAGGAACACACACACACAACGGCATGAAATACTTTCCCATAAGGAGCTGGTCTTCCTCCATGCAAGGATATGCCGTTCGGAGTTTTACATGATATTTACGCAAAACCTTTCTTCTAAAAAGCTAAAAATGATAACACACGTTTCTTCCTCCATTTTATCTTCATAACAGCACGGTTAAGTGGTTCAAAACCCAAGAGAAAGGCTCACCCAAAATACCCCAGAGACTCTGATAAAGGAGGTTTTTAAACTGGGTCTTTCCAGTCCAAGACTGATACTCCAACCATCACACTCCACTTTTATAGAATTGTAACATCGATGTTGTAAAAGGAACTCAAGCCTTCATTTTCAAGTAAAATATTCCAAAAAGGTTTTCTTGGGATTCATGATTTCCACAACAACAATAAGCCTTCAAGATGATTCTGAATTACAGTCATCTTGCAAGAGTTTTTTAGGGATAAAGTAATTTCTGGAGGCAAGAAGGGATTGCGTATCCTTTCTCCAGATGGAAGCACCAACCCCTGGTCTGCATTTGCACCCACACTTTCATAAGCTGGTGCGCAGTGCCGAGCAGGAGCTTCAACTGGCACAACTCAACCACAGATCTGACACACAATGGGGGAAACATGTTTGTATATCCATGTTATTCCTTGCAAATACTATTGAATGGAAGGCAGTCAACTGCAGGCAGTCAACTGCAAGTCCTCAGGTATCAGCTGAAAATGACCCCAGACCTTTCAAGTCACGCATGCTCTCATTGAACCGATCAAGGAATTTTTCTATATTCTTTTAAACCTTATCCTACACTTTCTTTTCATCTGGAAAATTCTTCGTTAATCATTTTGAAGCAATCTACCACGACTGCATTTCCCAGAAATGGGTTAAGCACGCAACAATTAAAACTACAAACGGCATCAGGGGCTTTCCTGATCTTGTTTACTGCTCAGACGCAAGATCATATGCAAAGGAAGGAACTGCAAAGCATTGCTAATCACAGCGACATAACAATCCCCCCCCTCAAAAAATAAACCATATACCTTCTGCGGTCTCTATTTCTGGAGGCAGACCTAGAAAGAAGGAAAAGCCTTCATGTCAGAGAGAAATGCACGGAGCAATGACCGACCCACAATTATAGCAACGTGTCAAAATAAACACCATTGTCTGTCCTTGACAGAATTGCATATACTCAAGGAAAAGAACTGTAATTCTAAGCAATAAGAATGAAGACCACAGAAACTAACAATGAGGGATGGATTAGGAAAAACAGTGAGCGGTGGCTTAGAAAAAAAGGCGGTCAGATAGACATTTTCTGAAGATTAGAGAAATCTGCAAAGCGAGGCACTTTCTGAGACATGTAACTAGTGTCTCACTTGACTGAGGAATCTGTTGGATGTGCTCTTTAATGGCAATCTGCATTTTCCCCCCTACTCCTTTCAAAAAAGGGGCCGTAGCTTAGTGGCACAGCACACTGTCCCAGGTTTCATCTGCAAGACACCCACGAGACACGTCCAGGCCTTGACTCTCTGCTTGAGATCTCACTGTGGCAGATGCCAAAACTTTCAGCCCTGAGTCATTCCTTTCATTGGCAGGAATCCATGGGGGTCACGGGGTGGGAGAGGAATTTCTTTCCATTACCACTTCCTCCCACCCCATGCGTCTACTGTTTTCTAATTCTGTAGATTGTCTTACATATAACTTTTCACACTACACATTTCTTCAAATTCTGAGGGAGCAAAATCTCCTCTAAGAACCGTATCACGGATTTCAAAATAAAAATTATTTCCAATGGGTTGTTTTTAAAATGTTTCCAACTTTTCCACTAGAAAAACCGAAAATGCATTGGGGCGGGGGAGCGGGACTGGGTTTCTCTGTAATTTGTTCATTTTTTTAAAAAAACTTGATTTCACATTTCTCCACAGCACAAATCCAATCACGCTCTGAATTCACACACCTCTTCTGCCACACATGCTTGCACAGACTCACCGTTGGCCGAGGCGGTCTTCTCGCTCCCTTTCTTCTCTCCGTCTTAGCCGGTCTTGATTTCTCTTCTCCTGTTTTTCCGCTACAGTTTTCTAAGATAAGACCGGAAATCTTATTAAAAGTGGTTGTATCCTACTGGACAAGAATCCTAACATATGTGGCAATATTTCACTGCCCTTCAAAGATGAGATCTCAGAGCCTGGGTCCCCCAAAAATTGTGACTAAGTGCATGTTGAGGCAGAAATTAAAAGGCACAAATATGAGGAAGGCAGTCAAGTTCTTTGGCCATGCAAAAGAATGACGGATACCCTTCGTTTGTCCTGGTGATCAGGATGGGGGGAGCACCAAAGGCAAAATACAGTACCTCAAGATGGAGGAACATCAGTGTTCCCAAAGAGAATTCATTTTCACAGCTGACACCTAAGGGCCTTCGGAACAGGTGAAGCCACTGAGCCACAGCCTTTACCTGCAACTGTTCCAGCTTCTCGCGGATCTGAATGAAGCCCAAATGTAATTTGCCTCCGAAGTGGTCCGCAAGACGGCGATCATTGTCGTGGAGCCCAAGGTAGGCAGAGCAGACTTCACAGACGCGCAGCTTCTGCTGCTGGAAACTGGAGGCAGGCATGGAATTGCGATATTCTTCCTGCAGAAGGTCAGAGACAGCTTAATATCAGGTCTTCCCACAGCGTGCTCCTCTTACTCTTTTTCCCCCCTCTGCCATGAATTTCTTTCTTATAACTAACCAACCACTTATATATTTACTTCAGCAATGGTTCAGCAAAGTCAAAATAATGGAAGCAGGCTAAATAATAGCTAACTGACTCAAATGATCAAATACAATTCTGGTTATTAATTACTAAAATGCATAGGTTATTTTTCATCGCTTAATATAACAGTTTATGTCCCAATATCTGATCACCTACGGATTTCACACAGACAAGGCCATAGAAATAATCAGATGCTGTCAGCAATCAGAAACACAAGATGACCAATACCTCTTTGGGACAACTCTGAATTTTCCTGCATTTTTCCTTTCTACTGTAGCTTTCTGCTGTTCTATCCAACCATTATTAATTAATTAATTAATTAATCAATTAATTTTAACCTGCTTTTCTCTTTTAAAAGGACCCAAGGCAGCTTACAATAACTAAAGGGGTGCATTTAAATTAATAACAGAGTGTACAATACTAAAAATATCAATGAATAAAAAAAACCCAAAAACATAAGCAATACCAAAATAGATTCAATGCAGAAACAAACCCAAACAGAAATCTAAACAGGACGCAAATCCAAATTCCATACAACACACTGAAAGCGAAGCCAACCTCAGCTTCTTTCTTTTTGGCTCGAACTTTCTCAACTTCCATCAGTATTTTCTGGGATTCGTCCACATTTCCTTCTGCTCCCAGCTGCTCAGCTTTAGCCAGCAGTTTGCCAATGTCTTCATTTAGCTCATGAACCTTTTCTGCCTGGAGAAGAAGACAGGTTTTAGCTGTGACCATCTTTTAATACTGGGAGTCTTTCATCGGGATACACGATGCGTTCATTCCTTATGAAACACAAGTTTCCTAGGTTTTTGTAAGAATGGTTTGAAGGAAAAGGTTACTGCTTTTTATATATATCATATTGCAGTTTCTTTCTTTTTGCTTTGTAAGGAAGGCATTTCCAACATCTTGAGCAGCAATATAAAGTCATGAATTTAACTAGAAAAGCAGCTTCTCCCTCCGCAACACACAAAATGTAATACAGTGGTGCCGCGCAAGATGATGTTAATTCATTCCTCGAAAAACGTCGTCTTGTAAAAACACTGTCTTGCGAAACACGGTTCCCCTTTGGAATGCACTGAAATCTAATTAATGCATTCCAATGGGGGGGAATCATCTTGGGAAAATCGTCCATAGAAAACATCGTCTTGCAAAATGCGGTTCCCCACTGGAATGGATTGAAATCTATTTAATGCGTTCCAATGGGGAAAAATTGCCGTCTTGCGAAAATCGTCCATAGAAAACATTGTCTTGCAAAGCGCCACAACAATTGCAAAAAACAATCATCTTGCGAATTAATCATTCCGCGAGGCAATCGTCTTGCGAGGCACCACTGTACTTTAGAATACAGGGCACAGAAATACACAGTATATCATACAACGAAATTCACAGACACCCAGAGACCAGACACATGCACACACATAACATTCCCCAAACACTCCCCACCCACTAGAAATCCCCCACTAAAAATACAAAACATCTACAAATGCTGCATGCAGAGAATCCATGAAAGACTGGAACATCTGGCACAAATCTCCTTGGGCAGGAGACCTCTGTCACAGCGCACCAGGATGTCCACTAAAGACTCCTGCGAGCTCAGGAAAGGGGGGGCAACCACCACACTATTTTATGGGGTTTAAATACCTTTGCAGCAACTTCGGCGCTGATCTCTTCCTGTGTCTCCGCAAGGCGTTTTTTTGCCAGTTCGGTTCTTCTGTCACACTCAGCAATGAAAGATTCCAAGTGGTTCATCGCCTGAGAGCACACAAAAAGACAAAGCTGATGTTCTGCATGCTTTTTGTTTTTTTGTTTTTTGCTTCAGGCATGTTCATTCAAGACCTTCCCTGTTGAAAACAGCCTCAGGAAAAAGGGCAGCAAAAAAGTCCTAAAGTGAATGTTCTCATTTCGGTGATGCAAAGAAGAGATGGGCACGAAATGCCGGGTAGGCAGTCCGTGCTGGGTCAGCCGATGAGCGCCTGCAGCGCATGGAGGAGGTGGGGCAGGGCAGCCAGAGCGCTGCCCTCTAGTGGGCATCCACAGGTGGTTTGTGCTCATCTCTAATGCAGAGCACATGGGTGTAGGAAACAAACATTTATTGTTGTCACAACTTATAGTTTTGAGCAATAAAGCTTGATCCAAGAATTTTACTATTTTTGACTATGAACAACACAAGAACAATATAATACAGAAATGTTGTATAACACTTTTGTCACACAAACTTTTAAACTAATCAAATAGACATACAATTTTATATGACACAGTATTGAAAAATGCTCAGAAATGGATATTATCTACACAAAGGCAAATTTTAAACAAGCTTCAAAGCTCAGCATGTATTGCCAATATCTAAATATAAAAATGTAGACTATTCTGTTTGCTTGTAACAATTAACATAATACAACAGCAAAAAGTATTCTGGTACCCTTAAGATCCAACTAATTTATTTCAGCATGAGTTTTCAGAGATTTTAATTCAAATAAATCTGCTACCCTTAAAAGTGATGCAACATTTTTAGTTACACATGCCAAAACATAGTTGCGAAAAATGCTGATGTATGCAGCCCCTTCAGTGCTTGCTGGTTGGATTCTCAAACCAGCAGGAACAGCTAAACCCACCAAGAAATCAAAACTAATTAGTAAACCTAATTTACTGTGTCCTGGCTTGTCAATGCCCAATAAGAATTAAAAACAAAGAGCAAACCGTGGTTTGCAACTGTGGACATGTAAGAGGGACAAAAACCCAATGCAGTGAACATTATAAGCTTTAAATCATGGCTAGTTCCGCTGCCTGTGTTCATAGGAGGGGACAGCTGGAGCCAATTATCCACGTCATGACTGATAAGCCAGGATCCGCTGGAATTCTGGTATCTTGTTACTGCCACCGAGATGAAGCTCCTCATTAAAATTTATTGCACACTGTAAAGTTGCTACCATTAGGAGTGCTACATAACTAACAAATCACATGTGCTTTGTAAATTGTCTGGTGCATCTGCGCTCATCCTTGCAGCAAGAAGGTTACGTAAGAAAAGCGTCACAAAACAAGTAAACACATCGGGGTTACGTTTCTCCCATCATTACCAGTAACAAAAACTACTCACATCCAGCTCAAAGAATAGGTCCCTTTCTTTACTGGCAATCTCATAATCAGCTCTTAGCGCCAAATCATGGATTTTTGTACACTCTCCCAGATCCATGCGCTGTTGAAAAGCAGGCAGAGAGGGGAAAAACAAGGCAATGACACTGAAATTCTTTACGCCAGAGGCCCCCAACCCCTGGTCTGTGGCCCAGTGCCAGTCTGTGGCCTGAGCTAGACCGGGCCGCGGAGACAGATTTCCCCCCCCCACTCCCCTCACACAGCCTGTTTGCACCTGCGTGCGCACTGGCACCCATGTCGGCGTTCACCCACCCCTTCGTGCACACGCATGAGAGCCCCTGAGCACCACACCACCCTTTGCGCATGAGCACAAGTGTGCTTGCAAGAGCGCTGCACCACCCTTTGCACATGCACACGAGCGTACGTCCACCCCGAATGAGTGCCCCCGCTCCTTTGTGCATGCGCACAAGCATGCTCCTTCAAGCATGTGCACGAGTCAGGGGAGTGCCCCGCCTCCCCCAGCCAGTCCACGGGGCTAACAAGTTTTGGGACCGCTGCTTTATGCCATTAGCATTAGATCTTGAAACACATGAGAAGCACAATGTTTAGTGGGTGGGAAGGAACAAGGAAACTGGTTACTTTGATTTTCCAGAGTAACCGCTTACACAGCCTCCTGCTACTAAGATGGAGGGTTCAAAGTCTCCAACTCTACACATGTGGCCTACATTTATGAGCAGGCATGGGATTATTGGATTTTTTTTGAACTACAGCTCCCATAATTCTTCATTCTAGGGGTTCCACCAGACAGACACCTACATTTGGCTCACCTAGAGAAAAGGCCAAGCGTGGAAGGTTTCGTGGCCTACCAAACGTCTATCTCCACCCTAGCTTCCTGTTCAGAAAGGAAGCTGTCCCAAGGCCAGCTGGGAACTTTTTTAAAAAAAACTAATCACAAAGTGGGGATTTGAAGCCAGGTTTTCCGGAATCTTAAATCTATGGCTTTGCTGGCAGAGGACATTCTACAGATTGGATGCCATCTTGAGAAACCTCCCTTTTCTGCATCTCCTGGTTGAGCCTTGAAAAGAATTCTGTGTGAAACCCTCTGCAGCTGACAATATAGGGCCAGATAAACCAGTGGCCTGACTTAGTACCAGTCAGCTTTGTATGCTGCAATGCGTTTGCTATACCTTCATTTCAGCAATAAGCCTTCTACACCAGTGGTTCTTAACCTTTATTACTCGGATGTTTTTGAACTGCAACTCCCAGAAACCCCAGCCAGCACAGTTGGTGGTGAAGGCTTCTGGGAGTTGCAGTCCAAAACTCCTGAATAACCCAAGGTTAAGAACCAGTGTTCTACACGCTGGTATCCAGAAAGGTACAACTGCCACGGGCTTTCAAGGCTGGGTTGCAACATTGTTTGTTCAGGCATTTTAATTTTGCTAAACTGCAATTTCACGGTCTGTTAACATCATTTTATGGTTGTCTGTAACTGGATTTATTACAGTTACACTTAACTGTACAGAAACATATCAGTTTAGTAAGGGTAATCTAGAACAGTTTTAACTAACAAAAATGTTTAATATATTCGCGAAGGCTTTCACGGCCGGGATCTAATGGTTGCTGTGGGTTTTTCGGGCTCTTTGGCCGTGTTCTGAAGAGAGCACAGAGTGCTGTCCTCTGAAGAGGCCGGCCACAGAGACTGGCGAAATGTTAGGAAGAACAACCTTCAGAACACGGCCAAAGAGCCCGAAAAACCTACAACAACCAAAAATGTTTAATGTTTTGCAACACAAGAGTTTATGCAGACTTTTCTTACATTGCTTAGATATTCTTATACACAGTTCTCCTTTTCATTGGAATCATGTAAGGAAATGAAGGGTTGCCAGTGTTTCACTACGGGGTTGTGCATTTCATACCCACAGTTATATAAGATTGTTGTGGCATACTTTAGCTGCCAAGTCACATACTGCACAGACAGATAATGGCCCCTTGGTGCCATCAGAAAGCATACGTACCGTTCCTGCAAGAATATCATGAGGGCAACAGTCCAGAAGGTGGCTCTTGCAGACACGCTCATCGGTAAACTTCACCCTTTGCCTGGTCTCATCGCCTGAAATTCATGTTTGGTTATAAACACGAAAACACATTAGAAATGCTGATCACACCAGGCAAGCTGTGGTATGCTTCATTTTGCCTCATTACGCAGATTAAAATATTTCACGAACCCCAGAACTGCTGGGAAAACTACAAAAACATAAGTCATAGAATTTTTTTTTTCTTTCACAGCGGAGAATTGAATTAAGCACAGCATTTAACGTCACATGCACCACTTACTAAGTATGGTGCTGACCATAATTATGTCCATTGCCAGACATCTATATGAAAAAAACAGCAGAGTCAGAAATGGGTAATCTGGATCCAGACCACAGAAGGCTGTTTTTCTACATTGAGAACAAAGGTCCAGAGAAATCAAAACCCATGCTATCTGAAGGCCATGAATCACAAGACAGACCCATGGCTAGGAATTTTAAGAGGCAGCCATTTATGAATCCAGCATCTTTCGAGTTAGGTATTGCTGGTTCATACATATTAACATATAATGGGTTTCTAAAGGCCATGTTTTGTGTTGGTCTAAACAGTGGAATCTGTCTTTTCCCTTCCCTTTCCCACCCCCAGAAAACAATTTACATTTGGGAGCCACTTAAAACAAGCAAAACTAAAAAAAAAAGTTAGTTAATACACACTGCGAGCTCCAACACATACTATACCCATCTGCATTCTTCAAGACCTCAGCTGCAGAATTTTATGCCCGCTGTTGAAAAGTTTTAAAGGAAAAGTTTTCTTGCCCATACCTGCAGTAAGGAAGTCAGGGGAATGATACATAAAACGTAAAGGCAAAGTGGTAACGGTATGTGACAATTGATTTTTAAAATGCTAATCTGTGTAGGAATATAGATTAGGACTCATAAGCATCCAGGACTAATGTTGTGTCTATTGAATAGGTTCTCTTTTTTTAAATTCTTTTTCCTTCTTTCTAAGCTACACTTTTAAAATTACTTGTGAAAAAAAAGCAGCAAACACTCTTTTTTTTGTTATAACAGCTTTAAAAATTGGTTGTGACTCACGGCTCGATGAACATGAGGCTTTTCTGCAACTCCCTTGCAGATTGATGTAGGCAGGCAAAGATACACTGAACCTTTATAAATAAAATAGAGGGGCCACAATTGTTCAGTTTGTATGAAATAAAAATATGGGAAGAAATTCAAATACAACTCAAATACACAAAGAAAGAACAAGCACTTATTCACTTATGAAACCAAGTGCAAAATGTTATCTGCAGAGTTTCTGCAAATGTGTCAGGCTTTTAAGTTTGCAGATTCAAGGAAGGAAGCAGATGCACACCTTTCCAGGAACGCACCACTTTTCAAAGGAAATATTATTTTCCTGGGGCACATGCGGAAGTCCCGTTTCTATGCAGAACACGCCTACCTTCGTGCTTTTATACACGAAGCGATACCTCTACAGGTGAGTCTACAAAAGAAAAGCCTCACCACATAAGATCAGGGAAGCCAAGGTGTTTTAGCCCTATGACAGAGCTGCAGCTGATAAACTTGGCATTAAAAGCCTTCCATTTCCGGCCTCTCCAGCCGTCCAAGAAATCAATGTAATATGTATTTCTTGTTGTGACGTTTGTTCCACAGAGCCGCACAAACATTAAACAGGCTCCTCTGTTTTACTCTAAAGGCCTGATGAGCCCCCCCCCTCATACCATCTGTACCAACGTTTTATGCTACAGAGCAGATGTTTCCAGAGATCAGATGTTACGTCAAGGGACGACACCACCTGCTTTGGCAGGCGTTTGGGCGGGCGCATCCCAGGTGAGATGACGCAGGTGCTGGAGACCTGGACGTCCCGTTTAGGCACCTGCCCACCGAGACCGGGACGTGCTGAGCATCGCCACCCACATGACCGCCACCGATACCTGCGCTGGCCAGCGTGCCACATGGCCAAGCTTTAAACTGGTCAGACTGGTTTGACCTTCAACTTGGTTTGCTTACCCTTCAGCTTCTCGCTGCTAAAAACCAGACATATGCTGAGCAATAGCTTCGGCTTAGATGGAAAAATAAATCCATCTAGCCCCCCCTCATCCCACCCTTTGCCCTGGTTTCCTGGGAAGCCCATGCCTGAGGCTTCTCTCCCCCCCCCATTTTGCCTCTTCTCTTCTGCTTCTTAACTCTTTCTTCTTTCATCTATCGCTGTTAAATTTTCCTTTAATAAGAGCAAGTTAATCTCCCTCTTCTTTTAAAGGTGCACCAAGAACTGAGCTAGATCAACCTCCCCCCCCCACCAAACCCCCTTTTTGGCCCCACCGTCCTTTGCTACCACGATCCCCGATGCCCAAATCTTAAGCTGAGCAGGGAATTTCTCCTCCTCTGGATTTCTCACCCCCGGGGGAGCCTGGGAAGCAACCGAGCAAAAAAATAATAATAAAGGGAAGTGGGTCTCTGAGCATGGCCCGAGTGCTTCTCCTCCAGGGCCAACGTTTCCTTTCCAGGTGAGCCCAGACCGTCTTCCCTCTCTCTCTCTCTCTCTTCCCCCCCTCTCACCCCATTTCATATGTTTTAATTTCTGAGGTAATTTGGGGGGGAGAGAAGACAAATGAACGGCTCTTCGTGCCCAGGGAAGGCCCGGAAAGGGAAGCGTGGCCCTCCCTGCTCCGAGGTGGGGCTGAAGCCGGGCCTCGCCGGCGCGACGGGCGGGGAGGAAGGAGACGAGAGGCGGCGGCGGCGCTCCGAGGCCGCCAAGCCGAGGCCTCGCCCCTCAGGCCGGGCCTGAGGCGGCGGCTGAGGAAGCGGCGGCGGCTGGGGAAGCAACGGCAGCAACGGCGGCAGCGGCTCCTTCCTTCCTTCCTTCCTTCTTTCCTGCAGGCCCCCGGCCTTGCCCGCCCCAACTCACCGTCCCGGGCGGTGCCCATCAGCTGGTCGAGCAGCGCCCGCATCTGGGCCTGGGCCGACATGATGGCGGGAGCGAAAAGCGAGGCCTCCGCGGCGGCGCCGAGGCGGAAAACGAGGAGGAGGAAAAGAAGGCCGCGTCTCCTAGGAAACCGAGGCAAAAGGGGGAGGGGGGAGAGAGAGAGGGCCCCGGCCGCGAGCGCCAGGCAACGACTCCGACTCCCTTCCGCTCGCCTCGGCCGCCGCAAGGCACGACGGGAGAAGGAGGAGTCGCCGACGTCGACGCGCTCTTCCCCCCTCCTCCGCTGACGTCACGCCTGCCGCGCAAGGCCCCCTGGGAATGGGAGTCCGCGCCGCCTTCCGGCCGTGGGCGCAGCGTATCTTGGGAAGCGTAGTTCGGCGCGGAGTCTGTGGCCAACGAGGGAGCGCGCCTAAGTTCTCCTCCTCCTGTTGGGGAATTATGTCCACGCTGGGGGGTGGGGTGTGTTCTGGGTATTGTAGGCCGAAAAGTAACTTTTCCAAGCGTGTAGGCGGAAAAGTAACTTTTCCAAGCGTGTAGGCCGAAAAGTAACTTTTCCAAGCGTGTGGGCCGAAAAGTAACTTTTCCAAGCATGTAGGCCAAGAAGTAACTTTTCCAAGCGTGTAGGCCGAAAAGTAACTTTTCAGAGGGTTGCCTTGCTGCCCCTTCTGTCCCCAGCCACCACTGCTTTGTCGGCTAGGGCTACTAGCAACTGAGCTCTAAATAGGATGTTATAGCTGGTCCATCCTCCCAACTGCTGGTTTCAACGTCCCTCGCCGTCTGCCCTTATGGGCACAAGCCTGCGGCTGCTGAGTAGGATCTTTGTGCATCTAGCCACCGAAGGGATGCTGACATGCTCTTCCTGTATCCATGCTCTTCCTACTAGAAAGGATCCAGGGATGTTTTTGAAACAAGGACAAGAGGAAGAAACAAAAGAGACAGGAAACAGCGAATGCTGTGCATTGCCTTTCTTTTCCAAAAATGCCCTGCAGAAGAATTGTGGGGGTTCCTGCCACAGACATACCATATGTGTATGCAAGTGTGTGTGTGTGTATATATAAGCAAGCCTTTGATTTGGACAATCATAGGGTCATGCAAGGACATGTACTTGTTCTTCTGCTAATGTGATCTATCTTTTGCCAACAATGTCCCTCTGCACTCTACATAAGAGAAATAGGACAATCTCTAGGCAAAAATAATTAATGGGCATAAATTAAACATCAGAAATTGCAATACACAGAAACCTGTCTCAAATCACTTTAATCTCCAAGATACCAAATTCTGGAGAAGAAAAAATATGGACAAGAATCCAGAGGGAAACGTATGAGATAAAATTTATATACATGCTGGACACCCATCTCGGTGGATTAAATATTAGCCAAGGTTTTTTAAGCCAACACTAAATGTGATGTTATGTTGTTGTTATTTTTCTTTCCAACAATATCATAGGGTCATGCAAGGACATTTACTTGTTCTTCTGCTAATGTGATCTATGCCATCTCTTGCCAACAATGTCCCTCTGCACTCTACATAAGAGAAATAGGACAATCTCTAGGCAAAAATAATTAATGGGCATAAATTAAACATCAGAAATTGCAATACACAGAAACCTGTCTCAAATCACTTTAATCTCCAAGATACCAAATTCTGGAGAAGAAAAAATATGGACAAGAATCCAGAGGGAAACGTATGAGATAAAATTTATATACATGCTGGACACCCATCTCGGTGGATTAAATATTAGCCAAGGTTTTTTAAGCCAACACCAAATGTGATGTTATATTGTTGTTATTTTCCTTCCCAACAATCCAGACCCACCTTTTCAGACCAAGGCTCAAAGGTAAAATCTCATGATCTACATCAGTGGTTCTTAACCTTTGTTACTCGGATGCTTTTGAACTGCAAATCCCAAAAACCCCAGTCAGGACAGCTTGGTGGTGAAGGCTTCTGGGAGTTGCAGTCCAAAACTCCTGAGTAACCCAAGGTTAAGAACCAGTGATCTAAATTACCATGGGGTTTTTTGTTGTTTTTGTTGTTGTTTCTTTTAATCATTGTTGCTGTTTATAGAACCAAGCTTCAAAAGAACTGGATACCAAACAGCAGTCTGAAATCATGCCTAGGTGTGAAATGCAACCAAATCCCATTGCCCCTTTATTTTAAAGCTTTGCATGAACTTTTTACCATGTAGCCTCTGTATTCTGTCTCATATGTCTGATGAAGTGGGCATATTCCACAAAAGCTTACATTAAAATGTAGCAGCTAATCTTTAATCTGCCACAACATCTTTTTTTTCCTTTCCTTTTCTTTTGTGTTTCTTGTTGAAGGCTTATCAGATCTCTTTTGTCCCTCAGTTTTTGTAACAGCATATACGAAGGTCTGAAGGGGATGCAGACTGACAAGTTATAAATTTGGAGACCTTGACAGTTTCGCCCCGGAGTTGGGTCAAATTCATGTTGGTATCTTCAATGACAATGTCCAACCGTCTTGTTCTCTGTTGTCCCCTTCTCCTCTTGCCTTCACACTTTCCC